TCTTGGTCCACACCCTGCTCCACTCACGTTGTGTTTCTTGATCACAGAGCTGGTGGGGATCTAGTATCATCAGTAAATGTAATGTTGGTTCGAACCACAGCTAATCTGTTATGAAGGGAAAAAAATAGAAATGTTCTTGCAGATGAAATAAAAACGAAGAATTTTTTTGGTTAATTTTCAATTTGGTTATCTAGTTCTTTGTATGACAAAATCAATCCTTCCTACTAATATCTCTATATTGACACTTTGCCTATCGGTGCTAATTCTTGGAATAGGGCTCAAAGTCTGGACTTGGTAGCAAGTCACATGGATCTCAATAGCACCTTTGTCTGCTCTTTGCTTCTCTCTCTCTCTCTCTCTCTCTCTGGGTCGTCTAAGCACTCAAATGGGGTCTGACAGTATTTGGAAGTCTGTGGTTTCCCAAGTTTCTGTACCCATTTGAATAATAGTTCTTGTCTTGTTTGCAGTATTAACCTTTACCATGCTAATTTCTTTATAGAATTGTTCCCCTGCCACTACATTTCTTTTGAGTGTACAAAAACAAACATCTACTGTTTTAAAATTGTTATAAGTAACTTTATATTGTGTGTATAGATTTTATTTTTTGTGTGCTAATAAAAGAATGGATAAGTAATATTTTGATGTAATGCATTACATTTTGCATACATGTTTTGAAAACAAAAAATTGAAATCTGAAATAAAAAACAAATACATTAACAAATACACACAATTCAACATACTTCAAATTTTATTATTTCTTGTGGAGTTTTGTAGTGCAATAAGAAGCAAAATCATTAAGGTTTTTTATTTGTCAAAAAAGTGACGTGCTTCTCATGTTTACACATGAGAAGGCACCAGCATTTGTTTGCTCTTTCTTTCATCTATCATATTTATGAGTTATTATTTCATTGTTTATAAATAGAAGCAATAATTCACCTTCCGAAAGGCTATTAAGTATATTGATGATTGCCAGTAGTTTCCATAAATTAGTCAGCTATGGATGATAGTAGCCAGACAGTATCTAGTAGTCATCATTGCTTTCCTCCATGTCACTAGCATAATTATCATCTCTGACCACTTCACCATCAATATCCACTTGAGTAAAGCCTTCAAAATCATCATTGGAGTCAGTCTGAATCATAAAAGAACTCCTGAATAAGGCTTCGTTATATGTGGTCATTTCTGTTTACAAAAAATCACAAAAAAATTAATGTGGGTTTAATCAATGATATGCCTCATGTAGAGTATAGAAGAATTCAAAATGGCATCGAAAAAAAAAAACAGTTTAGCCTCATTCCAAAGCAGTAGTAGGCAATTTCTAGCTTAAAATACTTGAAATAACAGTTGACAGGTGTTTGTTTATAGTAACTATCTTGAGGTGACATAATTCACCTAGAGCAGCAAAAGGAGAGAATAGCTATGGCGACAACTTTCACCTCCAGCATGGTGAAGATTAATTATCTCTCCAAATTTGTGAGAACCACTCACCCTCCTAGTGGTGGTTGCAGGTATCGCCCCACCCGTATAACTCATTCCTTCTCTTATTTAAGCCTCACACCATTATTTCCAAATAGACAGGTAATTTCTCCTTATTCCTCCTCACCTCTCTTAGTATCTTACCTAAGCCCACCGCTTTGTCTCTTTGACAAATCTGATTTTTAAACTGAGTGGGTGAAAGGGCAGGCTTTACTTTTAGTCATTAATTGTAATTATCTTAATTTTAAACAACTAATTTTCTCAGCCCCTGGTCTTGTTTATGCAATCAGAGATTTACCAGTTGTTCCTTTGATCCATAATTAAAAAATATTTGTCTTCATATCTTTTCTACTTAATTGTACTTATGAACCTTACAGCTCTGTTTCTTAATTTCTTTGAGCAAAGGAAAAAAAATTTCTCGATTTGTTTACATTTCTAAAATCGGTGAAATTTCCGCTCTTTGACAGGCAGGCATAAACCAGTTCCTCGATTCTATCTTCATCTTCAAAATTGCTATATATTATAAACCAATTGACCCCTTCTTCTGTCTGGCAATCATGAGACATGCTTTCATAACTTCCACTTTAAGTGGGCATAAATCAATTTCTGCTTTTTCTTCCAAAGTTCTCAACTAACCTCAAAGGCGCTTTCACTTTGAGACCTTCCCTATGGCCTCTGATAATATCTTTTCCCAAACCAAAGAGTCATTCTTTTTGGGCTTGTCTTGTCTTCCTTCTTTCAGTTTGTTATTCCATACTTTTAACTCTCTCTGTCTGTTCCAGTTCATATTTTAAATTAACCCTTTTCCTTTACCATTGTCACACAACTACAATCTTACCATGAAAGTTCCACACTATTTGATAATTCTCTGTCAACTGGAAACCTATAGCTATGTGTGCTTTATAGATTAAGAAGTCAAGAGATTGTTGGCAGACAGTATCATAGAGGAAACAGATGCTTACAAAAATTACATGGAGATTCACTACTTCTCATATAAATACTGGATGCACACCCACGACCAAATATTAGTGACTTGGTAGAAAAATGTCCAAATACTAAGTGTTGAATACAGTTGTCATGCTTACTACCAAATTCACTTCTTTGAAAGCAAGCAGCAGGTTGTACCAGTTTTGCTGCTTACTCTTTGAATAGTAGCACCTCAGAGAGTCATAATCTGAAATATTAAGGATGAATATATTAAGTATACAAACCAAACATCATGACATTCAGTTGCTAAGTGTTTCAAGCTAACATTCAACAGTGATAAATATACATCTAGATAAATGTCTACCAACCTATGGCTAATGGTAATATTAAACCTGGTCCTGACTACTTACAGCTATTCTTCCATCTACCAGTCCTCACAGATATGGCTTCCTTGGGTAGATTTATCAGGATCTTCTTACACACAGATGGGTATATCCAATAAAAGATCCATCTACTAGTTGGGTTCTAGGAATCTCCTCTTGAAACTTCCACTGTGGATAATTTGTATGGTTTTAAACAAGTTGTTGCTGGCCTCTTGGTGATTGAGGACAATTTCCCATTCATTTCTGTGACTGATGCTTCAACTCTATCCACATTACACTGAGCCAAAATGATAGGCCACTTGCATTTTGTTCTGAATGTTAACAAAAGGCAAATATTCATCAATCAAAAAGGTGTCATATAGAATCATTATTTTGTGCAAAAGATGGCATTATTTCATTAGTAAATATTTTCAACTGGACAGTGACCAAAAATCTGTTTCATTTATATTCAGCAGGAAAAATTAAGAACCAGATTGCCAAATGAAAAATTGTGTGATCAAGCAATTGTTGAAATATTTTTTTTTATTGTCAAAGTGTGTACAATCATGCTGCTGACAATATTCTCCAGAATTCACTTTAGATTTGAAGGCAGACCTTCATAATTCTTTATGCACTCCATACAACCTAATTTGTGTATACTTTAGTAAAGTTAGTAGATTTAAAGAATACTAGATGTTTGTCTTCTTGTGTGTACAGAAATAAAGTCCTGTTTTACTCAAAGAATCTGTCATGTGGCAACAGTCACACTACCATTGAATGTCAACTCAAGTTACCCTTGCCAAATACAAACTGTAATACATTGACTTTAATAGATAACTACAACAGGTTCCCTTTTGTATTTCTTTGTAGCAACATGACATTCCATACTGTTGTAAGTTACCTCCACCATCTATTCTGTACTTAATATAGTCAGTCAATTATATCCAAGAAGATAACCACTTCATTATGTTGACACAGTATAACTTCCAGTTGCTTGACTGCATATAATTCTCATGGAAATTTCTAAGCAGAAACGTGTTATAGTATTATTTGGAAGAGCATATTATTTACCCTTCAATACTACATTTAAAGGCTGCCCTCTAGAAGATAGTGTGCCCACCAAAGGATAAACTTGATCTTTGGTTGCTGTCTTAACCTGAAACAATTCTGATGAAGAGACACACATTCCTAAAATAAAATTGAACTGTATATTAATAAAGCTCAGCTTCTCAAAGCCAACCTGGAATATACTCGTGTGTTTTCATGATGAACAAGTAACAACAGTATTGTTGAGACTTTTTTTTTTTTTTTTTTTTTTATCTGGGTTGCACATATCTTTCATATGATACATATGAACAAGCTTCTCTAATGGAAGCCATGAATCCCACTGCAAAATTGACACATGAAAGTGCATATTACTTTAGTGATTAGGGATATAATCCAGTACAGTACCAAAAGGTAATTATCAACATGAGCCTTATGCATCCAGTAGTCCAAGTTCTCATGGTTCATTATCTAAACTATTCAACTTTCTTTTTTCATTTCATATCATTCAAAACATGTCATGCAAAAAAAAATCACAATAATTTTTAGATTATTATAAATGAAATTGTGTTGATCTTAATCATTGTATCAGTAAACGTTACCATAAATACTTCATTGGTGAATGTAGTGATAATCATTTATTCATGTAATTGTTATTATTGTTATCACCATGTTGCTATCACTACTACATTGTTACTATTACTCTTAATTTTTATAGTAATGTCTATTTCTCTTATTGCTAGTGTTGCTCAAGTGTACATTAATGTTCTTTGTTTTGCATTTCATAGCAATTTGTCTGTTTCAAGTAGAATAAATCTTCCCACTCAGTTTTGTTAGCTTAGAACCATTATTGTTAGATTAACCATTTCTCTTTTTTTTTTTTTCTTTTTTTGTCAATTATTTGGGTTTTGGGGGTCTAAATTCACATAGGATTTGTTTCAGACAAAATTAAGTATAACATTTTATTAAAAAAAATATAAATATTTCTTTAACTTTTGGGTCATGGTGTAACTGTGGGAAAATAATGTTACTTTAATTTATCATATTTGAAACTATTTTTGATGTGAACTTATCAGTCCCAAAATTTGTAACAATATTTTGTAATCATATAAATAATGGATTTGAATGCAAAATTAGTTTTTCTCTAGTTTGTTTTGTTCTTATTTTAATTTTTTTCTTTTAACTAAATAGCCTGTTGATTGGATGGTAGCCAAAAAGAAACTAAAGATGGACACTTCAGTCAAACCTGTTGACTGGGCAATTCCAGGGGAAAGAGCTGGATTAAAAACTTTAGAAAGCTTTTGCAATGAACGATTGAAGTATTTTGCCACTGAACGGAATGATCCCACTAAGTCAAGTCTCAGTAATCTGTCTCCATGGCTACACTTTGGTAAGTAAATTTGTTATCTGCTTCATTGTGTGTGTAAAAAGAAATTAAATCACCTGCATCCTTGCTGCTTTTTATTTTGACTAAAGTTGAAATTTGTTAGTCTTCAAGGATACAGAAATTTCAACTGAACTCCCTAACTAAAAGAAAGTACAATTATATTCCTAATTTCAATCTAAAAGTTAAAATAATTTGAAAATTCATTATTTTTTTAATTTCTTTCAAAATGAGGAGGAATAACTCCATTATTGCAATTTCAATTTTAAAAATAGCATTAATACTATCAAGATGGTTGACACCCAGGCAACATAAAAATGCCCCAAAATGTTTAGGCATGAATATGTATGATATATACTAATTTTTGTTATCGTAAAACTTAGTAACTTAGATACAAGAAAAGTTAATTTCTGGGAGAGGATGTGGGTCTAAAAAAAAAAAAAAAACAATATTCCACTGATGATACTGGTAAGATTTTTTTTTTTTTTTTAATCATTTCACCCCAAGGAAGACAATAAATCCACAAAGTGCTCAAGGGGTTACTAAGTGTTAGAGAATATGAGGTAAAAAAAATCATTAAGGAGAGAGAACAATAAGAGAACAAAAATTAAGACTGAAGATAAAGATTGGAATTGCATTTAAATTTTTGAAGTTCAATGTTGACTAGAAAGCAAGAAGCCAAAAGAGAAATGTGAGAGAAGAAACAGTTAGTATAAAACTTACATTTGCATCTAGCCACTTCTGTAAAATTAGACCTTGCAACCAATCTAGTACTTCACTTAAATTCATAAAGTTTAGGTACTAATTAGAACAATATAAATTAAAAAATAAAATGATTTTTAACATATTCACTGCAGTTTAGTATGCAACATATGAACAAAATCTGTTGTCATTTGAAAATTAATTAAAATAATAAATTTTATACATGAATTAATACAATTTATTAAGCTTAACTTACTTTGGCACAAAAGCCATAATTGGACTATTAACACCTGACTTCTGGTACCTTTATGGCAGTCTTCCTTCATTGGTATCAGGATTCAGTGGGTAGGTTTCTTTGGTAAAGAATAGGTAAATGACTGGTAGCTCAGATGAGCCCTTTTGTCAGGGAGTTGAATTGATGGCAGTTTATATAGTGTTGGAATGGTTTGGTGGTTGAAGTTGCATGGATTTTTTCTTTTGATTGGTCAGAAAATTACTGACATTTTAAATTTTGTTTTTTGGAATTGGATATGTAGAGCCAACCTAAAATTATGCTGGTTTGTGTTATTTGAATGTTGGCTGTTTGGGTGAGCACTTCCATTTTCTTTGTAAACTTGAAGTTCCAACAGGTTATGCCATATCCAATGTTTTTGTTTTGTCGAATTTGATTCCATTATATTTTGGTTAGTTCAGATTAATCTCTTTGTTTTATTTCAAAATTCCAGCTGCTGTACCTGCTCCTCAGGCCTTCCTCAGGTGTCCTTCTCTAATCTTGCTCTGAAGGGGCGCATGCTTCTTCTCTTCTCATAATCCACACACACACACTTCCAGTGATCAAGATGAACCTGATCATCATCCAGTTTGTTTGGGGCATACTTTTGGAACCTCAAATTCATTAGTTCCTTACGAGAAGGTCAAATGTTCAGTGTACTAAAAGCATACAGAAAAGACAGATACCAAGTGTGATGTGTATGAGGTAAGGATGGAAAGCACTCCTTCTTCAGACACTCGAGGAAGGCTAGAGGGAACAGAGCCCAAAATACAATGATTAAAAATGAAACTTTGACTAAAACAAATTCTCCTTTGTAAGCTACCTTTCTTGAATGACTATACTGACTTTATTTTTACTAGCTTAATTTTTAATATTTAAATGAAGACTAGATAAAGTGGTAATTTATCAAATTTATATAAGCTTAATTTGAAATTTTTCATTGAAGTCATTACTGTTCTTTTTATTAAACCATGTAAATTGAAGTAATATTTTTCTGATAATTGAAAAAATATTGCTTGCAAGAGAAGTTGTAAAATAATTAGATTTCAAAATGTAATACTTTTATGTTAATCTGAATTATGTTTTATTTAATAGGCCAAGTCTCTGCTCAAAGATGTGTTTTAATGGTAAAGAAGTTGGGAAAAGCACACAAAGCTAGTGTTGATGCATTTATTGAAGAAGCAGTTATCAGAAGTGAACTAGCTGATAACTTTTGTTATTATCAAGAGAATTATGATAAATTAGAGGGTATGCTTCTAAAAAAATGTTTTTAATTTTTTAACTAGAAATTGATAAACAAGAATAAAAGTATTTATCGAAATTTTTCATAATTTTTTTTTTCAAAAATCATTCAAAAATGTATTTAAAATATGTAATTATTACTTTTTGATGGATATAATTGTTAATATTTTTATAGTTCCTATGAAATCTTTGGTTTTTCTTGTCCATTAACAAGAAAGTGTCTTTATAGTAAATTTTCCTTTGTAAATGTTTTAAGAATGAATTGGTAAAGCTATTTTAAAATCGGCATTAACAAAGAATTTTACCAATAAATATAATTCTACTCAAAAATCTGCAAAAAAAGTGGAGCAACTTTATTACTAAAATATTACAAAAATTACTTTTTTTTTTTTTTTTTTTTATTTGTATAAAGTCTTTTTAAAAAATTTTGTTTTGACCTTGTAAATGTTCTATTTTTAGGGGCCTATGATTGGGCCAAGAAGAGTTTGAAGGAACATGAAAAAGACAAAAGAGAATACATTTACACTCAAGAACAGTTGGAAAATGCCAACACCCATGACCAGTTATGGAATGCTGCTCAGGTTTACTCTTTTACCAGTTTTTATTTATTTGCTATGTAGTCTTTGTTAAATACAGTTGCACTAATCTTTTTTTATTGGCTCATTGTTTTTTTTTCTTTTTATCATCAGTTCAGCTGAAATATGTGGTCTAGCATTATCATCATAGAGTATGTTCCTCTTTTCTCTTAACTAATTCCAGATATCTTCCATCAACTGACCTCCATTGATCTAATCTAGGTACCTCCACGAAATCGCTAAAAAAAGAGCATAGCTTGATGAAAAAGACGCCAACCTTGCCGAAAACAAAATTTTATTGTCTAAATGCTTGTTATTATTAAGAGGAAAGACCAAAGTTTTTTTTAATTATTTTTAAAAAAATTTTCCTTCTTTTTAGAACATTCTAAATTTTGATTTTAAAAAAAAAAAAAAAAACCTTGTTTCTATTTGTATCAGCAGAACTAGTAAATAACATAGACAATTTTTAGCACGTTTTTTTGGTATGACACATTAATTTGAAAAAATCGTGCAAAAATAGAAATAATTGTCGGATGTTAATGAAACTTTCAGGAACTATTCACAGATGATCGAAATTATTATAAATGTTTTTTTTATTAAAGTCATGGTAGAAATATTTTTTTAAATTTTATGAAAACGCTAGAAATTCGATCGCATCGGTTTTAGTGATTACAATAATTAAAAGCACAGGGCTTTGAGGAATGCAAATCAGGTTTTTTTTTTTAATTGGAGCCAATGTACCTGAAAATCAGCTCTGAATTGTAACATACAAAACTCAATAAAACAAAGATATTATTTAATTTCAAATGCTTTTATTTGCTTTTAGTTGTTTTTATGAATATGGACAATATTTTCTGAAAGCAAAAAATTTTTTTTTGATGAAAAATGAATTTTTAATACAATTATTTGTTATTTCTTTAATTATAATAGATTTTACATTTAAGTTGTTAAAATATTATAAAATTAGTTAAAAGCCGCATCGGCTTTCCTAAGTGTCCTTATGAGATAGATCTTTTTTTAGCGCGTTGTAAATTGTATCATTTTGACTAATCAGAAGATCCACAGTAATTAAATGTAATTTTGTGCTTATAACCGGGCTGTAATTATAAAGTACGGAAGACCAACCAGAATATAATTAAGTTGCGTTATTTGAGTTAAGCATTGTTCTCCGCTGTTAAGGCCTTTACTTTTTATGTAAACACGTGTGGAGAAGTTAATTTGATTTTTTTCAATTTCAACTGAGAAGGGTACCTACAAGTATCAGTATCATCTTATGAAATTTATGATATTATTTTTATATTAATCTCAGTTATGACATTTTTCCATAAATGAAATATCAAAATTAATAATAAAATGAATGCAAATACAAATAACAGTAAAATGTAATAAATGTACATAAAATTATAGTATTTTATGTACAGTTCTGATAAAAATTCATAAGAAAGGTACCTATAAATTAATTAGATACCTTTCTTAGGAAATATGAAATTTAATGTCACTCTTAAGTCTTATTTTAATTTCTTTATGATATATTTTCCATAAAACATCATAAACGTAAAGGTGAAAGCTAAGTACAAAAAAAAAAAATAAGACCGCTGAAAGTTTTCGTTAAAAATAATGAGGTAAATAATTTGTTCACTTAAATTATTTCACTTTTCTCCTTCCGTAGAACAAATTAGCCTCATGGAATTTGTAAATATGTCATTCATCACCTGTCAAGAGATGCGAAAGTTTATGACCTGCTTTGTTTTATTTTCAAATTACATCTTTTTGGCACAAAAGCTAAGTTTGGTTCAAAATATTTTAAATAAACATTATAATTTCTGATTTTCTTAAAATAAGTTTTGAAAAAATGATAATTGATATTTAAAAGAATTTCAAAGTGAGATTTCCAGTTTTTTTTTAAAATGGAAAAAAATGGTCAATTTTGCTGACTCGAAAAAAACTAGATTTTTAACAAATTTCGGACGTGCTAGGAACGATTAAAAAATGGAAAAAAAATACCCCAAAAATACTTTGATCTTTCCTCTTAATAATAACAAACATTTAGATGATGAAATTTTGTTTTCGTCAAGTTTGGCGTCTTTTTCATCATGCTATACTCTTTTTTAGCGATCTCGTGGAGGTACCTAATCTAATCCCATAATACAGATATCATTATTTTGTTTAAATGAAAATCAACCTTTATTACTGTTAGCAGTTTTGCTTACCCCAACACTATCTAGTGTTTCACATTGTTGTGAAGTATTCACTTGTAATCAATTGTCAGAATTTGTTTTAAAAACAAAACTTTTAAATACAGTCTTGTAGGCATTTTTGGCTTAGCTTAATATAACCAAGATGGTTGAAATGATTTAAGTCTATCTGCTCTACTGTAGAGCTTTGTATAACCAGAAATCCCCAGCACAAAATTTAGCAAACAAAATTTGATCATTCACATTACCTTCTCTATAAACTATAACAATATTTGCATTTGAGTTGCATCCACAACTTTCTTGAAGTTAAAGATAAAAAAGTATATTCTAAAATTGTTGCTTGTTTTTCTATCTTTTTAATAAACAAAAATGACTTTTTTGACACTTAAAAAAATACTGTCACAATATAACCAAAAGTAAATTGTTTTGGTTAAAACTTCAATTAACTAATTAAAACTAAATATAACTAATGCCATTTAATGACAAAAACAAAATTTGTCAAAACAGATTAAACAAAAGTGGTGGACAAATGAGAGAGAAGTTACTTCCATAAATATTGTCATTGAAAATATTTTTTTATCTCTTAATGAATACTTTATCAAAAACCTATGGTTAATAAACTTAGGATAGCCTTCATTTCATTCTTGTTTAGTTCTCCAAAAGTGTAACATTGTACTTTAGTGTGTTGGCCAGACAAGAGATATCAGGCTCAAGTTTCTGAGTACTTGTCAACAATGTAGATAGATTCTGAAACTATAGTAATTTAAAATGCATTTACATTTTAAAACTCATACTTGGGTAAACATATCTTTAGGCTAAATATAACTCTCTTCATAAGGGAATTTTTTTTTTTTTTTTTTATGTCACCTCCAACTGAGAGTACATTTGTGTTTATGGTGGTTAGTTTTGGTAGTTATAAAATTTTTGATATCAAATTAATATGAATAGCCTTTGTAAAAACAGAAAATTTCCCTTATAACTTTAATTCAGTCTTCAGACTTGATCATTGTCAAGATAAAAAACATTTCATCAGTTACTAAAAATGGCACAAAAAAAAATCTAAAACAGTTGCTCTTAGATTTGACATTTCAAAACTGGCTAAATCTTTGGAATAACTTACAAATTTTATTTTTCATGTTGCAATTAGTAAATCTTGTAAATTCATATTGAAAATGTTTCTAAACATTGAGTTTTTTCCCCTAATTTTTACCATAAAAATATATCAGATATTTGAAGTGATTGTGATTAGATGAGTAAGACACAATGAGAAGAGGAACTGCTTTGCTTGCTTCAAATTTGTTCTTTTTTCTTTTGATGTCTTATGTTTAGAAAAACAATAACTTATATATATTTTTTTTTTTTTTTTTTAAGATTCAGTTATTAACTGAAGGCAAAATGCATGGCTTCTTGCGAATGTATTGGGCCAAGAAAATTCTTGAATGGACAGCAAATCCTGCTGAAGCTCTTTGTGTGGCCATCTATTTAAATGATCGTTATTCATTAGATGGCATGGATTCTAATGGCTATGTTGGTAAGTTATTTGGGAAGATTTTATTTATGTGGCCAAAAAGTTGATCTTAAATAAAATAATATTGATGCTTTACTTTATTTCCAGTATTAATTTTATTGAACAACATATTCACCATTTTGTTCCATCATCTCAGAACTTTTATTTATCTTTCTCTGCAAAGATTTGCTCTATGTGCCATTTGAAGTCTTCCAGGGCAATGGATTTTTATTTATTTATTTTTTTTCATTAAGAGAATTCTCTAAAGGCTAGAATAAATAGTAATCTAAAGGTGCAGTTAGTGGTTTTGCTTACCCCAACACTCTTATGTTCCTCATGGTTGTGAAGTATTCACTTTTCATCAGTTGTCAGAATTTGTTTTAAGAGCAAAGCCATTACATACAGTCTAGTAGGTGTTTTAGCTTAGTTTATATGGAAACTACACATCAAAGCAACTAATATAATCAAGATGGTTTAAAATTTCACAAGCAAAATTTGATCATTCACATTACCTTCTCTATAAGCAACATTATTTGCATTTGAGTTGCATTTACAACTCTTGAAGTTAGATAAAAAAAAAATATAATATTCTAAAATTGTTACTTTATTTTTTTCCATCTTCTACATTAAAATTAATAAACAAAAATGGCATTTTTGACAAATTTTTTTTTTTTTTTTTTTTTTTTAACCTAGAAGTAAAAGCATGACCAGAAATCTCTTCTCAGCTCATTTAATTGAAAACGTTTAGTGAATATTGCTCCTCTTTTAAGGAGGGCATTCATTTTTCTCAAAGCCATGTTAGAAAATTAGTTGATCCCTATTTAATTATGTATATAGCCTTATTATTTTGCATAGCCTACTTCAAAAACCTGTTTTATAAAAATAAAATAATGAATTGTCTAGATTTTTAAGTCTGAGTTTGTAACATCTAATTTCACAGTTTATTTGAACTGATCATTGTTGCATAGATTTTATTACTTTATTAATATAATCGGTTTTTGTAACCTTTTTATTTATAATCATTTTTTAAAGTTCATAAGGTTTCTGTCATATGCAAAAATATTTTTAATTGGTTTACTTATATACTGAAGCTTGGGTTAACCTTGTTAAATCATACATTTTTATGATGGGGAAATATTTGAGATAAGTTCCTGTAAAAACAAGGAATATCAGTTGTATTTGTATCTTCAGGATTGCAGGATGTCCCAAAAGTTTTGATCAAGAAGCAAAATTGTATTAGTTTTATTGCAGCAAATACTCAAATTGATGGCCTTGAACTTTACAACAGTTTGAAGACAATGACTAAAACAACGTTGAATATTTTTTAAAGTATCAGAATTGATATTATTAGTAGAGATGATTTCCTCTTTTAGTATGATTGTTTTGAACAAATTTCAATAGACTACTGATTTAAGATATTCCCAAAGAAAAAAAAAAGGACTGATAGTGTTAAGTATGGAGCTTTGCATCTCATCTACATTCTTGGAAAAGTTTAAGCTTTAAAATTCTTGCATCAATAGCAAAATGAAGTTGGGCACCAACTTGACAACAACCTCCCACTCTCCTACCTTTTTCTTTTCAAGAAGGGATGAAGTGGCGTAGATGAAACGAGGTTTCATATCTGTAGAAATCAACTTAGGTCTGAAATATTGACTTATAAAGAAAAATGACTATGGATACAAACTTTTAGAACACCCCATTATTGTTCAAATTATCTTAAATTTGCATTTGATTATTGTAGCAATAAAATATTAATTTAAAAGAAAACTTAATCCAATTTTATTTTTTGATGAGCTTTCAGTTATTAGATTTTCATTTTTAAGTAAAAAAATCCTTCACAAACATATCCAAACTTAAAATGCTAATCTATTTGTCTCTTTGTAGGCTGCATGTGGTCGTGTTGTGGTATGCATGATCGTGCTTGGGGTGAACGCAATATCATTGGCAAAATCCGCATTATGACATTTGCAGGGTGTAAAAGGAAGTTTGATGTTGATAGTTTTATACAAAAATATTCCAAAAGAGAAAATTAAAGCAAATTGATTCATTTGAACTTTTTCCTCAAAGGACCAGACCTTTGTTTTATATTGTCTATTAAAAGAAAATGTATTTTTGTAATTTCTGTAATTTTCTGTTTAGAATAAAAGAAATATTAAAATATTTTCATATTCATTTTTGATTTGTGTAAATTCCAAATTTTTAACATTTTTTTTTTTTTTTTTTTTTTTTATTGAATGTTATAAATCATATTTTTATCTTTGCATTCAGAGGGCATAAATTATAGAGGGCATAAACTTTTAAGTTTGGATTTTTGTTTTATTTATTCTGAAATAGTTCCATCAAATCAGAACAATATACAAAAAATCAATTGTAGCTTTTTTTTTTTTTTTTTTTTTTTTTATTCCTAAAATATATATTTAAAAAAAAAATACCCATTTTGAATAAATAGTAGGATATATCAGGAATTTGTTTAGTGTTTTATTTTCTCCTTTGTTAATCTTTTCTAAATGATGCAAACTAATGTTATTGCTTTGGCTATAAGCCATATCATTGTGTTGCTTTAAGGCTACTGTTTGTAGTTGCATTTTGGGCAGAGAGACATGTATTTGGAAAATACAATACATAAATTTTAATATCTGCAAGTGCAAATATGAAATAATTGATTACAGTCCAATGGAAATGCTTTGCCTGGCCTTTCTGCGAAAGGCTTTCAGTTCTAGCTCTTTCAGTTCTTTTTAGTTTATAAACTAAAAAATGTTATGAGCTAGAACTTTTTCTTGATATTTCCTCGAGATTTCTTTTGAATTATTCTAAGCTTTGGTTATCTATTTCATAGGAAGTTATAAAATAATTTTGCAATTCACTGCACTCTGTTGTTTCCCGTCTTATCTCTGACTGACAGTTTACTGATTGTATCAGGTGTTGACCTTGTAAGAACATTATTGACACAATCCTGGCCACATCAATTGTCATTCCTAGCATATGATATTTATCCAAGAAGTGTTTATGACTGAATCAAAACTGGATTGTTTACCTATTTTTATTATTTAACCAAACAAAAGGATGAGTTGGTAACAAATGTGATAACATCCAATTTCAATTCAAGGATATTATTAGCATGCGTTTGATTCAAACGTATGACAACTCTGATAAATGAACAACTTAAATTCAAAGCATTCGTGCCTTTGATTTTTATTTTTTTATATTTTTTTTTTTTTAAATTCTTAATTAAAGGGAAATAACTCTGTAAAGCGTAAAGTAGGCTGTTACGTCCCCTGGATATTTAATCACGTGACTCTCTTTTTCTCTCTATCTCTATACGACGCCTGATCCGCGAATGACAAGTTCTTGGGCACAAGTGGCAGGGAAACATGCCCGGTGCGGAATTTGCAGATGACGCTGGTGTCACCTTCACTCGAGCACTCCTACTCGGAGTGTGCCATTCTGGTGATGCAGAGAGACTGCCAGCCAATCCGATCCCTTGTGAAGTTCTCCAATTGTGTTGGGTCAATATTGCAGGAGACAAGAGCATGTTTAAGGTAGTCTTGAAATTGCTTCTTTGGGCAGTAGCTGGTTTCAAGCTCTCTGAATAATAATTTTTGGGAGGCGACTATATATCTAAGGGAAGTAAGAACCCACTGCTACCTATGTAAAGTCAGTGTTACAGAGCTAATACTGGAATGGCAAAATAATTTGGAAGCTTCATTGTCTCTACCAAGTTTTTTTCACTTATTTTCTTCATACCACGTAATCACGTGCCCAATAAGGTGGTCACATCTCTCTTCCTGACTTACGTGCTGGATCATCTGTATCACTATCACCTTGCCTTTCTGTACTATCATTGTTATCCAATGAGTCATTCACTCGTACATCCAGGATCTGCCGAGGGGTTCCATCTACAGAAACATTATTCTGTGACTGTACTCCAGTCACCATTCCCTGCAGCGAGCACCAGGCAGCTTTATCCATACCTCCTCTCTAACTTGAATTGAACCTGGTCACCTTGTCACTGCTTTATTTTCGGGGATGATCAGTGGATGTCTTCACTTGTACTGAAATATTATGTGCTCTGACACAGAATCCTCCTTCTGGCCTACCTAAAGGGACATGTTATACCAGTAAACTGCCTCAATTGGTAATATTTGACCCCTCTCAACTATTGCCTTCACAGTCCTGTGGTGCCTCTCTACAATGCTGTTTCTACTAGGCCTGTATGCATCCCTCTAATATGCTCGCACATTCCACCTATCAAGTACTGCTTTGACTGGTTCCAACTTGAATTCTGTGTCATTATCCATTAGGACTTCTTCCACTGGGCCTCTCTCTAGGTACAGCTCATTTAGTATAGATATAACCACTGTCCTCGTTTCTCCCTTTAATTCCCAGCATATGGCTATGCTGCCAGGCCCACAATCCACCATTGACAGATATGACTCATTTTGGTAATGCGTGACTTCAATTGCTAGTCTTGCTCAATTGTTTGAGACATGAACTTCACCGGCTTCATGCATACTTTGCACTGGATCAATTGATTGGCATAGTTGACATGCTCGCACTACTCTATACACAACTCCTCTAGAGATAGTTGGGTCTACCTTCCTGGCCAAATACAGTGTCCTCTCAACACTCATATGGTGCATCTTTTGCAATTTCTTTAAGCCTCCAACTTCAATATTGTACATGGCATATTCTTTGGTTGCATCATGGGGCATCTTCATCCAAGCTTTTCTCACTCCTGTGAGTACATCAGCCTAATTAGCCTCTGAGGATACAAGACTAGCTTTAACCTGTAGGACAAACTCTTTAATGACATCCTCCAGAATTCCCAACCTACGCTTTATGAGCATCTCTGCTATTCCCTTAGTCCGTATTCTGCTCACCTTCATAATAACAGACTCAACCCATGCCAAGTCCATCTTCACCTCTATGTTCTTCATCTCCCACTGCAGTGTCAAGTTGATGCCTTACATTACTGTTTTTAATTCTGCTACATTTATGTGGTTGGCAACTGTTTTCTTCTTCAACCAAGCAGTGTTCACAGCTTTGACACCCACTACTTCTGTCACTCGGTCATGCCAACTTATCCCCTCCACCTGTCTTTTTATATAGCTGCATGCGACCTTCAACCATCCAGCCACAGGATAATGGCTCACCAACTTTCTACACTTCAAAAACAATTGTTTACTCATCTGTCACGGGTGGAATCTCATTACCCTTTCGGAACACTAACTCTCCAGTTTCTTTATCTTTCTGCAACTTTAGCCTGAGTGCTGCTTCCCTGTCAAGTGACTCTGAAGGTTTTGATATTAATCCATATTTTTTGAGGTGACAGCTTATTTTTTCTGTGTGCACAACTGTTTCATCCACCAGGATGTCATCAATATAGGAATTTATGGCCTGCCCTATTGTCTCCTCCTGCTTCAGTGCAGTCTTAAGCACTGCCGCCATGATTTTTGGTGCAACATTCAACCTAAACCTCAATCTAGTAAGGCAATAGGTGACCCCCTTGTACCTTACAAGTTGGTACTGCCACAGCCTCTCTGCTACATGTAATTGCAGGTATGCTGAGTTCAGATCTACAATTGTAGCTGCACCCATTGTCTGTCCCCATTCTCACATGGTTTCTCCACATACATCAATATCAACATTTCCTGTCTGGCATGATAAGTATGTATTCAACTCCCTAAAGTCTAGTACTGCCCTAATAATATTCCACTGTGGACTTCTTCCTTCCAGAGTACCAGGATGCCTTCTTCAACCTGTCTGTCTACCTCCTTTTCAAACTCCATTCTCTTCTTGCATGGAATTTTCATATAAGCTCACCCTGTTCTATAACATGGGTGGTTCAATGTCCAGCACCATTTAACAGTCCACTCATTTGCCATCAAATTTGGTACAAAAATCCCTATTCTGAATTTTTAGTCCAGTCTGACCACTGCCTTGCAGTTGCAGATCTGCTGCTTTTGGCAACACACCTAATTTAACTCGGTTTTGATTAATGGCGACACCTCCCAGCTTATCAATTATGTCTATACCAATGATGACATCAATGCCATCAACAATGTGCTCCAAAACCAGCACCTTTATCTTGAATTGCATTTCATCTACCAATAATATCACAGTGCTAGAGCCCTTGCATGCATCCTCTCTTCCATCGACTGCTTTGATAAGTGTCCCTTCATTCAAACTTCTCACCAACCAGAGAGTCACCAGAGTCGAAGTGCATCCAGTATCTACTAGTGCACTTGCTTTCCTTCCCTCTACTACAACCATTACAATTGGTAAGGTTTGCTGTCACACCACTGTTGATCCATCGGGGCAGCTACTGGCACAGTAACTCTCCTCTTGCCTGTTTCCCTGGGAACAAAATCTGACAATGTGTCCCTTCTCTTCACATCTGTAGCACATCACGGCAGGCTTCAGTCGTTTCTTGCAATCTTTTATCATGTGCAGCCACAGCACCAAAAACATTGTCTGCTAAACCTCCTTGTCTGTTCCATTCCTGGTTCTTTAGCAGCTGGGCTTTTGTGCCACAGCTCCTATTCCAAGGAATTATCCTGCTCTGTTCATGGTTAGCACCCTAGCAGCAGTTATCAGTTCACTCATCTCTAGTTTCTACCTGGGTCATCTGCTGAAGTGTGATCGATATTGGATCTGGGAATCTGTGTACAAGTACCAGCTTTACCATCCTCTCCACACTCCTTCCCACAAATCCTGCTAATCCTGTCAATCGCCTTATGTTGTTAGTATAAACATCAATGGATTCACCAGTCCATTTGGATTTTATCAATTTTCCATATGCTACAAAAGGTCCATCTGTAAAAGCCTTGAGTAGCACTGATTCAATCACCTCAGCATCTGTCATATCAGTCTCATTCATATCCACAGAGCCAATGCATCCCTCTCGAGATACAGTGGAATCAGACTCACCAAGTCAGTAATATGTTGCAACTTAGCAACCAATTTCACTTTTGTGAAACAAGGCAGTACGTCTCCCTGTCCTTCAAAAGGTCTAATCATGCCACTGGCCACATGCATTCTCTTCCTCTCTCCTTCCATGATGAAATGCCGAAATAGCTTGTTGTCTCACTGATATGCAGAAACGATAGAGAGAAAATAAACTCTTCCTTTCCTCTTTCTATTGTCCTTTCCTCTCCACTGTCCTTCACTCGCTGACACCGTTTGTAAAGGGAAAACAAAAATCTCCCCACCCATCATTCTTTTTGGCTTTTATACAACCACCACTCACCCATAAGGCATTGGCACTTCCCTATATAAGTGTTATTTACACTTTCTTAGCTTTTCCGCTTCTGTTGTTGGTAAGTTTTCACTTTTTGTGGGTTTTTTTCCCTCTCATCTCTTTACTACATTAATATGAAAATCCTGAATATTTATATGCAATTCAAAGTTTTTCCTTGATTAATAACACTATACACAGTTTTTTTTTCCTAATAAAGAGTGAATTGCCTCTTAGGATGATTAGTTTTGTTAGTCAAATGATTTTGAAATCTAACCAAATATGAATGAGTAGATTCAAATATACTTAGGTGAATATTCATGGACTTAATGCCATTCAAACCTGCAACTAAACATTAGCTTTTCCTCCATTTTAACAGCTATAATCAAGATGTCTGGGCAAAAACACCACAATTTGTAGCATATTGCAGATGAGAAACAAGTTGTCATAAAATTTTGATCCATTTCAAACCTAGTTTGGAGAAAAGTTTTTATTGTTGAGAAGGAAAATGTTTAAGCTAAAGCCTGAATGGAAAATAATGATGTAAATCTTCCATTAGTCCAAAATATTGAGATATTTAAGCTAAAAGATGTAGGTATAATTTTCAGGATATATTTGTATGTTAAACTTGCTAAGTGAATATTATCTTATAGTGTCTATCTTTATTAAAAAAAAATATTGACAACGTTTTTGGAGATGTCAGTGAAAAAATAAATTAAAAAAAATATTCACCAAAGAAACATTATATTAACACAATATGCCTGAATAAATTATTATTTTATCATTTTTAAATGTTATGCTCTCCTTGATATTCATCAATGTTTTACTTATTGATATTTTTAAAACTTTTCCATTGCTTTGAGAAAGTTTTATATTGCATACAGAAGTTTTATATTATTTTCTGTATATTTTCTTTGCATGAGTATTGTTTCCCATTCACATATACATATGCTATGCTCTTTTAAGGATGCACCCCAAGCATTCTATTACATTAATATCGAGAGAAAATGGAACCTATTCCATTAATTTGGTGTCTTTGAAACATTTTTAGTTAAATGGACAATAGTCAACTTTGCAGAATTTGAAAGTACAATAACTTGCATGAATATAGTCTTAATTTAAAGTTTCCTGTTTTTGATGTGTACCTCTCAAATGTCTTATCCAAAAGCTTAGAATAATTCACTGCATTTATCTTGATTCTATCAACTTTGAAGGGACCAATAATTTTGATACTTACAATACTTGCTACAAGCATTATTCCATAAACCACTCTGTAGTTTTCTAACTTCTGCTAATTGACTATTTTCATGAAGAACCAAATCTCTAGTCTACCCATCGGGTTCATTCAATAAATTTACCTTATATATTGAGCAGAAAATTTCAAATACGTTAAGCAATAAAGTATTCACTACCCTTGTTGGTTTACAAACGATGATTCTCTCCCTTTTGTTGAGATAGTTACATGAGTCATGTGACACCCGGTGAATAACATCAGGAGATAGATTGATGAAAGGCAGTTGTGATATAGAGCCCAGATAAGAACAACACTCTGAGACCACAGCGGTTGGTCTTACAGGTAAAACCACATGACCTAACCAGGTTTCCCTTTGAGAAATATTACAAGTAAGGTTTCCCTTTCTGACACACTGTTGTTGCATATGTTGTAATTTCTCTGTGTGGGACATATGTATATGTGTATATATTTAATTTTGTGTACGACATAGCATTATAAAGCTCTGAGCACTAAGCATGTTTGTTATTCTTTTTCCATTTAGCTATTCCGTTATGTCTGTGAAATGTGCTCCTGAACTGCCTCAAGTCCTCTCCAAACTATATAAATATTGCCTCACCGATTCTTGCTTTCCAGCCAGTTGGGAATCCTCATCTGTTGTCCCTGTCTTTAAGAAATCTGTTGACCCTTCTGACCCATCTAACTACTTTGGTAAAGTCTTAATCAACACCAAAGTTTTAAGCACCTTACATCCTATGATCTGCTCTCAGACAAGCAATATGGTTTCCACTTTACCTGGTCCACCACTGATGTGATCATAACCATAACTGAATTTATATACCAAGCACTTGACAATGATGGAGCTGTAGCTTTAGATATCTCTAAGGCATTTGATAGGGTTTGGCATGTTGATCTTCTTCATAAGCGTCAGGGATGCTGCATTACAGGACGGTTATTTGACTTAAATCATTCCTGTCAAACCATGAAATGAAGGTTGTCCTAAATGAGTTCTCCTCCAGTTCCTTTCACATAAATGCTGATGTTCCCCAAGGCTCTATCTTGGGTCCTACACTGTTTCTGATCTTCATCAACGATCTTCCTGATGTCATCAGCTCCCAAGTTGACATCTACACTGATGACACTACTATTTACTCCTGCCTTAATAGTAGATCTGGCATCGTTGACAAAACTAACCTGGCTGTAGGTCTCAAGAAATATCTCCAATCTGTGGTTGACTGGAGCAGGAAATCGCTTGTAATGCCTCTAAAATGAAACTGCTCTCAGTTACCCACCAAAGAGAACCCTCCCAGCCTTCCATCAGGATGGCTGATGCCCAACTCCATGAGAGCACTTCTCTTCACCTGCTTGGTCTCACACTGACTACTGACCTGAAGTGGAACAACTACCTTGAATCTATAGCTTCATCTACTGCAAGGAAAGTTGGTTCTCTGTGTTGCGCCAGGAGGTTCTTCTTGTCAGAATCCATCCTTCAAATCTACAAATCAACCATTTGTCCTTGCATGGAATACTGCTGCCATATATGGTCTGGTGTTCCTACTGTTCATCTTGAGGTCCTAGTCAAAATCCAGAGATGGATATGCAACGTGGTTGGTCCTGATCTTGCATCTTGTTTGCAGTCGCTTTCTCACTGACATGCTGTGGCTTCCCTCTACCTTTTCTATAAGTACTTTTGTGACAACTGCTCTGATGAGCTACTTTCACTGGTTCCCAAATTGCATGAATTTAAGCATGCTACTTGGTCCCACCCTTTCACTGTCGAAATGACTAAATGTAGCCGTCTCTTCTACAGCTTCTTATCTCACACCTCCCATCAGTGGAACTCCCTTCTTATCACTTGCTTCCCTGATATATATTCAAATGTAATGTCAACAGAAATCTTCTGATGCCTTGACTTTGATCCCTGTCCTTCTTTTTATCCTTTTCCTAAATACTCCTCTTTATTCTTATTCTCACTCTCTATAACCCCTTGTCAAGGAGCGTCTGCATCGGTAACCGGCGGCTTCTGGTCGTTCCTGTCTCTGCATCTGTGGGAACCCCGCGGCAAGCAAGAACATTATCCGAGTAGGCCTGGGTACCCTACTTCTGTAATTTATCCCAAGAATCTTCTTCTCATAACAGGAAGAAGCCGGCTCAATCCGCCCAGAGTGAATGCTGCATCAGTACAGTACAGTATAACCCCTTGTGTACTAGTGGCACTCTTGATTTGCTTAGGGGGAATTGCTTAAAACGGGTTTTCAAACTGTGATCCGCAAACCACAGGGGGTCCACAAGGACAAGACATGGGGTCCATGGACAACAAAGACTTTTTTATGGGTTACATGCAACTTATAAGCGCTTATAAGTAACTTATAGGCCGATCATGAAATAAATTGATTCAATAAACTACTTCATAGATTTGATATACTAATATAATTTGTATCTTAAATTGATAAAGATAATGGATTCTATTCATGCAGAGAAGGAACCAAAGGATTTGAATTTTGGATCTATTTTGCGATTTCTGGCTTTCCCATTGGCTGTTAGGTGTCACGTGTGCAAATCTTCAAACAGGAGAAGTGCAAGGCTGTTGGATGAGTAAGCAAGTAAGCTCTGAATTTTTTATTAGTATATTGTTTTCATAGCAATTAACAGTAAGCGTTCCATGTTGTCTACAGCCACTGAAAGAGTCAATACAGTCTTTCGAGAGTTCTTTTTAGCAATACATGCACAGTTGAAACCAGATAGGCTTTTTTAGTATTGTTACATTTTGAGTTTGTTGTAAACTTCAGGCGTGTTAGAATCAATTTAATTAAGGAGGATATGTGAATGAAGTGTATGATACCACTATTCTAGGCATGGTCATTTATAAGTATAAGTAAAATCAGCTTTAAAATAATTTGTAAATATAGGGTTGTCAGATAATATTTTCGAAACATAGCGATATTGCTGATTCATCCTGTATTCATTAAACAAATTCACAAAAGAAAAGCATAAAAATCATACAAAATATTCGCCATTTTACCCATGGATAAATTTTGGAAACGGAAACATCATGATGAAATCAACTCAGAATCCGTTACAGAGACAGAAGAGATTGTTCAGAAAAACAAATTAAGAAAATATGATGTGGAGTATATTCGATTTGAATTTAGGTAAAAATGGCAGGGTAAAAATGGCAACGGTATGGCAAAAGTGGATAAATAGGTAAAAATGGCAACGGTAAAAATGGCAAAAATGGATAAATAAGAAAAAATAGCAAAAGGAAAAAATATAGATGAATATCTCACAATGAGTTTATTAAAATCTTGGATACAATACATAATGGAAAAACATGAGAAGTTTGTCAAATTAAAAAGAATATTCAGCTAAAGTTCCCCACTCCCATGAGATTTTATTTTTTAGGCATTATGTCTGAACACACTGAAAAACTTTGGGAAAAAACAATTATAGGTCCACTTGATGAAACCAGAAAAAAAAAACAAAACAAAAAAAAAGAACAATAAAACATTAATTATTTCAGAGGTGATCAGACAACAACCCATGCGACTGGTGCCAGTAAAATTTAAAATCTTGTCTGATGCATTTTCAATCTTTTAATACTCAAGTGTGAAGTCTCTGAGAGGTTTCATATTGACATTTAGCAAATAGGTGTGAACAGTAATTCAAAAGGTTTGCTGAGGGAATAGGCTAAGTGAACTCTGAAATATT